CAAAAAAGCTACAGACCTTTATCAACTCATGTCTCCGAACGATTTTACGAATCCGCTGGCCCACCGTCATCACCAACGAGGATCTCTGGCGGCGCACACAACAAGAACCAGTGGAAGAGTTAATCTGCCAGCGCAGATGGAGATGGATTGGCCACACCCTCAGAAAGCCCGCATCAAGTATCACGAGACAAGCCCTGACTTGGAACCCCCAGGGTAAGAGAAAAAGAGGTCGACCCAAAACAACTTGGAGAAGGGAACTGGAGGCAGACATCAAAAAGAGTGGGCACAACTGGGGACAGTTGGAGAGACTTGCCCAAGACCGGGATGCCTGGAGAGCCTTTGTTTGTGGCCTATGCCCCAGACGGGACGACAGGCGATGATGATGATGATGATGATAGACTATAGAAAAATTAAATAGACAGTCATAAAAACTATATTTTAAAAAAAGATAGTATTTTTTTAATATACTAACTTTCCTTAAATTATAATACTAGTGTTTATTAACTCCATTCAGCAATAATCAAAGAAAGAACATGTATTGTTAGCTAATAATGTCACTCTTACAAAATTCAATTTTTTAATTAAATTAAAAGTGAAAAATAGACTGAATCAACCTTTTCAAATTCAACTTATTGGCATAAGCATAAAGTAAGTACCATGTATATTTTTAACTTTGAATCAATTTATTTTTCAGCTCAATTAATAAAGGGCGATTGAGATTGGCACTGTTCCTGCACATTTTGATTGGTCTATTAATGTTTTTCCGTCTCCTACCTGGAATCACCGGAGCTTTTGGACTGACAGTAGTTAGCCTTCGACGCCTTGACCTGCCACATCCTAGGCCTTGGGAATATGCCTGGTTGATCAGTTTAGTTGCAGCAGTAATTGGATGGCGCTCAACACCCCAAAATAACTTATTTTTGCTGAAGCAGTTTGTACTCGGACTGGTTGTCTTTGGTCTTTCTCCAATTTTCTTTGGATTTTTCGATTTGAAGAATGACATAATTCTGTACCTACAAGAGAGAAAATACACATATGAGATGCTAGGTTTTCCTGCTGTGGTGCTATGGATAGCATTCATGCTTATAGCACTTCAGCTGCACATATTTTCTCTTTATTTCAGTTATGTCCTTCTAGGCTCTTGGAAGCCTCGTGTAATAGAAAAGTTGAAAGCTAGATAATCCAGTCCTAAACTTTAAAAAATTATGAAATTAACAATTTTATCAATTTGCTTAAATGAGTGAATTTTAAAAGCTCATTTGGCCTATATTTATTGGCCATATTAGGCTATCTAAAAAAATGTGTGAATAAACATGTAATAATTTTATTTACATTTTGGTTTTCTTCTTTACCATTTTGTTTTTAATAAAGACATTTTTGAAACTGAAACACCATCAAAATTTAGTTTTGGGG